TAATAAATGCTCAACGCCAAGAGATCATTAATGTCTATCGAAATAAACTCCAAGCAATCCAAACGCCATTATCAGCATTTGCAAAAAGCAAAGAGGAAGGCGCCCACGAATTTATCAATGGTCAAAACATCAACACGAGTCAAGTCGATCAGTTAATATACCTAAATATTGAACCCGCACGAACTAGAAGGTTTATCATAAACATTAGAATCAGTCGCTAAACTTATGAACACGCTAGAGTTCTCTTTTTTTACATTAACACGGGTATTCAAAGCTAATGACTGGCAATTAGCATTAGAAGCGGGACTAAATTGAATGTTACGCTACTTTCCTTAAATTGTTTTTGATGATTAATCGATTCGACGAAACAATAATGATCTGGAAAAGATTTGATGAATAACCTAGTGCAATTTTATATAATTCTGTGATTATAGGTTTCGCGGAACAAAGAAATACCGCGATTGTTGAAAAATTATGGAATAGTATGTTAAAAGATAATAATATACCAGATGTACACTCATTCTGCGATTGTTGAATGTTACTTTCGAAGTCGAGAAACTTGCTTTATTTACAAATGTCTGAAGCGAAAACTCAAATGGATATTCATGTCTATAATCGAATTATCAATAGACTATTGTGGAATAAGCAAAGCAAAAAGGATCCGTATCATCAAACATAGTCACTAATTTGTGGTCTGACGTATGCAAAAAAATGGCAGGAGCTAATCGAGGTCATAGCAAGGTATGCGAAAAGCCAAACACACGATGGACGCGGTCACCACATTTCTCAAAAGATTTTTCGCCATAGATGATGTCGAGAACGCGAAAAGTATAATATCACTGTTTTCTCTTGTTGGCATTCAACCCATCACGGTCACCTATTGTGCATTAATTAATAACCTTATACGGTGTCGGGATTTCGATGGCGATTAAGGAAGGGCTATACCCGGAATTCAAATACTAACAAATATGATACGGGGTCTAGTAGCCCGAGGAAAATCAATACCGCTGAAAATTTGTGTAATATGCTTGCTGCTTTTGACACCAAACAACGCAATGACTGTGGATACATGGATGCTGGGATCTGAAAAAAGCCATGACCTATTTTGACAGAATGTTAAAGTTGCGTATAAAAAAGAGGCTTAATGGATTGATGATGTATAATGAATGTGAAATAGCGTATAAAAATATACGATCAAATGATTGAAGATAGATTAAGAGTTGAAACGGACGTATTATCTATGAATATTTATTGAAACGAATTGAAAAACTAAAATATAACGAATATTAATAATGTACATGCATGGTACGGTTAAATTTGTTTAGGTAGATTTTATTAACCAATCAGATTTAAAAATTCCAATTCAACAGAACATGATTCTTTGTTTCAAAACTCCTGATAGATAAAATTTCAAGATTATATGATAACTCAATAAAATGTGTCAAAACGTAATATGCAATTTTGAACCAACAAAATAATGATTCTATCAAGATAAGGGGATTTTCAATTATCAATGAATTTGCATAGTAGAATTTAAAACCAGCAGATAGAAATTTTTATTATTATCAAAAATGGAATAGGAACACAAAAAGATAAAAAAAGCATATGAAGAGTATTTGAAATTGGCAGATGGTAATGCTAGTGAGATCAAAAAATAATATTCGTTATATTTTAGATTTCCAATTAACAATTACCACATTTCTACGTTTCAATAAATATTCACAGATAACGCGCCCGTTCAACTCTGAATCCATCTTCAATCATTTGATCGTATATTTTTATACGCCATTTCCATTCATTGATAAATTCGTGGGCGCCTTTCAAACCTTTGCTTCTTACAAATGATGATAATGGCGTTTGAATTGCTTAGAGTTTATTTCGATAGACATTAATGATCTCTAGCATTTATTG